CCATACACCGGCAAATGGGCGGGACGGGAAGAGTGCGGGATTCCCGTCTGAAATATTTGATCAGTTCCCTCCCCTTCCCGTCTCGCGTGATTGGGACGAGTCTCGCCCGAGTCCCGCGCGTCCCGCTCATTTTCTTCGAACCGCGCTTCGCGCGGTGCCACAGATCAGGCTTCTTTTCTTGGATAAAGGGGACTCAACACAACTTGTGTTACACAAGATAAGTTGGAAGATGATGCTATACTCTGACAGCATGCCCTGCACTTCGCACCAGAAGTTGAGTAGAGTCTACTCAGTAGACTCCTGGATACGCTATTCAAGCAAGCTTAATTAACTACATGACGAGTCGAACGTAAGATCATAAGGGACTCATATAAGGAGCAAGTCATGTTATGTCTACGATCACCAAGAACAGCTCTAGCGGAGGAGAACAGCCTCCCCGTCGAGCTGGTAGACAGCACGATAGACTAGGTAGACACGATATAACTGGAGAGGGGAGATATTCTCCCTCCCCTTCTAGAGCTCTTAAAAAGAGCACTATGCAAAATTTATTGATGCGACTGAGACGCATCCTTCCAAGTTGATGTAGGCGGCTTGACAGCTCCGCTGTGAGAGAAGAGCGGGAAAATAGCGGGAAAACGGGATTCTCGCTCTAATCCCGTCCCGCGTTTCTGAAAAATTTACCGAGGGAACCGAGTCTCGCCGAGAGCGGGACTCGTATGCCGGTGTATGATGCAGGCGTGAAACGGCTGTGAAAAGGCGCAACGGCTCGAGAAGTGAAACGGTTCGGCGACCAGAAGTGGCTGGTCCAGAGAGATCGATGTTATCCCGTGATGCCCAGGTTACAGCTTTCATCCTACTGTTCGTCAGGCTGTTCCATGTTCCGTCTCTGCGAGTTGAATATGTCGGTCGTGGAGACCAGCCCTTTGCGTGATGAGATCAGAGTGAGAGGTGTTAGCGAGCGTTGGGAGGAGTTCGTGGCTCTGGTTGGCCAAGACTATTTGCCTGTACCTCTTGGAGGACGTCGTTGGAGAAACCGAGTCACTAAGGATAATGCTTCGATCGGCACCGATCGAAGCATTATCCTTACGACTTCGGTCGTAAGGTGAGGTCAGTTATCGGACCTCAGAGTCTCACTGACACGTCTCAGGTGTCTCTAATATCTTCTCCCTGGCTATTTTGATACAATACAAGTATACACCTAGACTCTGTGAACTGTAGAGTAGTGGAGTGTGGGGGGAATTTGGGATCAATGTCAATAGTTGCTGAATTTCGGTGTCTCCAATATCCTCTCCATGGCTATTCTGATTCAATACAAATATACACCTAGATCCTGTGAGCTATAGAGCAGTGAAGCGTGGGATGAATTTAGAGTCAATGTCAATAGTTGCTGAACTTCGGTGTCTCGAATATCGAGTCCATGGCGATTCTGATACAATACAAGTAAACACCCAGATTCTATGAGCAATAGAGCATTGGAGTGTGGAAGGACCTTCAGACTGAAGGCTTTAGTAGCAGGCTCAAGTAGGTTGAGTCAACTTACCTACCGGCAGCATTGTTGGGCTATTATGTCATGTCCTAGTCAACAGACCCATT